TGGAAATGTACTACCGTCCGACTTTTCGTACCCGCCTTGTTAGATTGAGTATCCGGGACGGGTCGTGACATCAAGTTCCTACAAAGAAGCTATGCAACAACAACAACATCAAGCTTTTATCCCATTATGTGGGGTCGGCTACTACATGAATCTTTTTTCTCCAATATGTCTTGCTAAGAGTTAAATTCTTATTTAAATCTAATAAACAATTTCATTTCTAATATTTTATAAGTAAAATTTTATAGGTCTACCTCTACCTTTCTTAACATAAGTCAAATTCAATACATCTACTTTCCTAACCGGGTCATTGGAAGGCTATCATTTTATGTGGCCAAACCATCTAAGGCGATTCTCTCTAATCTTATCTTCCACAAGAGCTACTCCAACCTTTTTCACGTATATGCTCATTTCGTATCCTATCTTTAAGAGTAAAGCCACTCATTCACCTGAGCATCCTCATCTCTGTAACACTTAACTTAATATTATGCTTCTATAAAAAACTATGCCGGAAAAAAAGAATGAAGAAATCTATGAATGAGGTGATCAAATCCATAAAAAGGAATAATATAGAGGAGCTTCTCACACTTCAAAAGACCATGAAGCCATTGATATAAAGTGAGTTTTCAAAATAAAAAAAAAATGCTAATGGAGAAATGGAAACATATAAGGAAAGATTGGTAGCTAAAGACGATAAGTAACAAGTTAGCGTTGATTTTGATAAGGTATTTGATCCTGTTATCCGTATGTAAAACAGTAGATTGATTATCTATTGCAACTCAAAATAGATGGAATATTTTTCAAATGGAAGTAAAATTTGCTTTCTTGAATGATTTTCTTGAAGTCTGCATAAAAACCTAAGGAAGATGTACAAGATGAGCATGAAGAAAAAGTGCTTCAGTTGAAGAAGGCACTTTATGGCTTTAAGCAAGTGGCTGGATCTTAGAATAGTCGCATTAATTCTTGTTTCAAAATTAATGGTTTCATTCAATGTTCTTATGAGCATGCTTTATATGTAAAAGAGAAAGTTGGAGATCTATTGCAAATTATGTGACTAATCTTATTTTCACAAGAAGGGATGGCCAAATGTTTGGTGAGTTCATGCAAGACATGACTCAAGACTTCATGATTAGAGACATGGGACTCATAATTACTTACTCTGCATGGAAGTAAAACAAGTGTAAGAAGGTATTGTTGTGGCACAAGAAGCTTATGTAATATTAGTTCTCCAAAAATTAAAGATAGATTATTGCAATCCAATCAGCAACCTCTTTGATTGTGGAGTGAAGTTATCAAAATATGATAAACATGTAACGGTGGATCCTACTCTCAATAAAAACTTGATTAAAATCTTAAGGTACTTGACATGCACATGACCGAATATTCTTTAAGAAGTTGGAGAAGTTGCATATGTACAGAGGATCCAAAGGCAACACATATGAAGACTGTCGAGAGGATTTTTTTCAATATCCAAGGTACTATTTCTAATATAGACTCTTATATACTTCAAATAATTTTCAATTTTATGAGTTTTCCGATATCAATTAGGAAGGACATCTGAATATGAACAAAGCAATTTATTATTAATCATTCAACTTGTAATGCAGAATATGTTGCGGCATCATGCATATATAATATAATTTGATTATGGAGATTACTCGAAGCATATTTGTCTTCCTCAACTTAAAAATACAAAGATCAACATTGACAAAAATTTGACAATCACATTACCCAAGAATCCAATTCATCATAACAGAAGCACAACCGCTAAACTAGTCTTGCAATCATTTCACAGAATCGAATGCAGTAAAAGCTCTCTGCTCCAAATGGCATGTTTAACTAAATATCATTAATTTAAAAGAATGGAAATGAGAAACAAGGAGAGTTAAGCATCATCATTTAAATAAAAGAAAGTCATAAGCTTTAAAGATGTATCTAACTTACAGGCAGAATGATCAAATCGTAAGTATGCTCAGAAGCATCACCAATAGACTTGTCTGCAACAATATTAGTATTTTGAGACGCTACAACCTGTATGCATTTCTCAACAGATGCAACGACCACGTCCACCTTAGCACGCCTTAAAATATCTACCAACATTACTACTTCCATCTCTTCAGAACCATTGGCAATTGGAACAAGAACCTGCTTAGAAGCTATCAGTCAGTAAATTTACATAAATGCAAGTTAATATAAACCCTCAATTAATCAACACAGCTCCTACCCTTACAACACTGCAATTGACAGATGACTCAATCTTCTCATCACAAGGAATCTTTTTTATTTGATAAACACAGCCCATTTCTCATCGCAAGGAATAAAACAGCTTCTCATCACAAGGAATATAATAGCCAGGCTAGTGGGAGTGAGAATTCTTCAATTGCTAAGGGCATTGCACGCTTCAACCAACTAATTGAACTCTTCAATTGCTAAGGACATTGCACGCTCCAACCAACTCATCCCAGCTGTGCAAATCAATTTGGCGGGATGGTACCAAGGCCATTAAGGGAAAACAAAATGCCATATCATTTCCATCCAAAGTGGAATACATGACGAATGAACATGATTAAATCACGTACTATCACAGGAACTGAAAAAGATCCTAATCCGGGCTACGTGGGAAGTAACCCCCCTCCCATTAAAACAAATTCCAACCAGTTCATGTTAGTCTTGATAATTATAATTATTACATGCCCTCCTAAAAAAACTTATAAATAGTGCTCCCACTACCAAATCATCATATTTATCAAAATTATCATTAGCCTCATTCCAACTATTTGGGTTTCAAAGTTACGAATCCTTCTTCATCATTCATTTCTACCAAGTGGTCCTTATAACTTGATGTCAAACTTCATTTACAACATCAAACCAAGTTAAAGAGTGCTCCCCCTCCCCAATCATAATATCGGTCAAAATTATAATTAGCCTCTTTCGAACTATTTGGGGTTCAAATTTATGAATCTTTCTTCATCGTTCATTTCTACCAAGTGATGATCCATGTGGTTACAACTTGATGCCAAACTTCATTTACAATATCAAAACAAGTTAAATTCGGTCTACCCTTTTTTTCCTCTGCTTTTCACATTGATTATATCTCCCCACCTCACCACTACATATTCTACTCTCCAGCCTGTTGAAATCACAAAAGCCTCATAATGTCATCCTCATTAGGTGCTACTCTCATAGCCTCTCTAATACAATCAATTCACAATCTATACTTTGAAGATTATAACACAACCACATAACATTTTAATTTCTATTGCAGCCGAGTTAGATGATCAACATAGTCGAGTTGAGTTTGACTTTTCATAAAATAATTAACTGCTTTCAATGTTTTCAAAGCGCAAAACATAATACAATACGCAAGGGCTCCTTTTTGCATCAATGTGCAAAACACAAAGCAAAGTGGCACTTTTATTAACTAGAGCGCATGTAATTTATATATAATGTATATAAATCATATCGAATAATAATTTTCAACAAATTTAATAATACATTCAAAAATAATTGTTGATATATCATCAAAAAATTATCTTGATCTGGCACGAATCTTGAGGAAAAATCAAGTTGGAAACTTTCGAAATTAAATTTGAGATCATATGAACTCCGATTTCAACAAACTTACAGTCGAACTGAATGCTCATAAATACAAACCCAACGACACCAAATTCGGCTCAATCCGAGCCCAACTGGGTCCAAATCAAAGACCCGAAGCGCTTTTGGAAGGTTCAAACCATAATTTGAATTACCAAACAAACTCCAAATGTAACATGCTTATAGTCGGATCAAGCGGCTCAACGAGGCAAATCCAACGAGCCCAATAACGTTGAATTCTGATATCATTAAGGCATTCAAATATCCAGTAAACAGTCCTCGATCAAGGGAATCAACAACGATCGTCCATTCAAACCCCTCCCAACCTACCATTGATCTTCCTCTTATTTACTGGTCATGTCACTCTAAAAAAATTATAAATAGACCACTCTTTCCTCATGGAAAGGGACTCAAGTGAAGAACCAAGAAAGCGAGGAAGCAAGGAAGAGAAGGAAGACAAGAAAAAAGAGAAACTAGAGTTCTCTTGTCACCAGACTGCTCGATGACCACCGCTGAACTTTCTCCCGACCACTAACTATTGTCAAACTTCTGCCCGGCCACCAACTGACACCGGACTTCCACCCGACCACTGACGGACGTCAAACTTCTGCACATCCACCAACTAACACCAAACTTCCACCCGACTTCCAATTCTTACTGGACCTCCATCACTAGACAAAGGTCTTCCTGACCACTGTAACCCGCCGACTACAGTCATTCAAACCTCCATCACCAGACAACGGTCTTTCTGACCACTATCGTCTGCCGACTATAGTCCTTCCGACATTCATCGCCAGACAACGATCTTTACTACCTTCGTCTCCGCCGACTACAATCCTTCCGACCTCCGTCTCCTGACATCGATCTTTCCGACCTCCGTCACCCGAATACGATCTTTTCGACCTCGGTCGCCAACCAACTATGATTTCAATATTGTGATTTCATATAATATTGCATTTAAATTATTATTTAATTTTCATAACTTTATAAATCTCATAGCTCATCAGTTATTTTATACTGACTTTTGTTACATGAAAAGATAAAGAGAAAGTGGTGACCGATTAGACAAGTGTTGGAAACTTTAGCTTTATGTTTAGAAGTGTTTATGATGTCTTTTTATAAGGTATGCAGGATGTTAAATGTGATGAAACATTATGTTTTTCTTAGTGGCTCTGTAAATATTGTGTAGTGTAGTTGGAATTATTAGATGCTTCCGTACATTCATTAGATGTAATTGTCTGTGGATATTTTATGCAACAATTAAAATGACATAAAAGTATCATATGTTGAGAATGAATGTTAAGTTGTTTTGTGGCATTCTACATTACGGGTAAGAGGTATCATGAGGTGTTACAGAGGAACTCTCAATTCATGATAAGACAAGCATCTAAGACCAGACCGATATTTTGTAATAGCCTCTACTATGTGATTAAAAATTTCCAGCTTCGTTGCAGTGAAAGTGATGCCGACTTGATAGAATCACGCAGCTATGTACTATATAGTTTTATCCCTTATTGCCTTATCTAAGGTTTTTTTATTTATCTTATGTTTTTCCATTTTTTCAATTTCTTTTCCAGGTTCCTGATACAGAATAAACCATAGGTCACAATTTTTTTTCTTTTTTTTATAAGCCATCAGTTTCTCTCTTACACATTGAGATACCTCTTATACTGAATCACATTACTCTTATTAGATCCTCCACATGACCAAAAAGATGCTCCTTGGCTTGAGATATACCTCAATTTGTCTCTTTACCATAATAAATGCATACATGGCAAAGAGTAATTGAATCGAATTTTAACTTCATATACTTCCAAGTTGGATCATTCTTGGATTTGGATTGGCCATGCCTAAATTTCATAACATATATAGTTAAGATCAGTGATCTGGTTTGTACTTGTGGTTGGATTTGACCATGCCTATGGAAAGGCAGGTCCCACTAAATTTATGCAAATATAAATAATTAAAAATTATTTGAAACATATGCATCCTCTAGGTCTCCATTGCCAGTTATAAATAAAACCAAACAAAATACTAATAATATGTTTAAAATTTTACTTGAAATTTTGAAAATAATATTTAATTAAGTTAAAAAAGTAATCTCATAATATTTAAAAGAATATTTATTTCGAGCTATTATATAAGGTGGTTAGAAGATCGCAACTGCTATAGATTGAGAAGAAAAAGTTGAGACGAAGGAGATCGTGTTTGTGTGAGATTGTGAATTCGTGTGAGGTTGTGGCTGCTGGTCAAGGGATCAAAGGGCGAAGATCAGGCGGTTGAAGGTGAAGGTCTAGTGGGAAAATAAGCTCGAAGTTGTTGGTTGAAGGGTCAAGGATGAATGATCAAATCACTAGTCGGTGGCTTGGCTATGAAATAGACACAACTTACATAAAAATCAAATAGGTGTGCAATTGAACCGAGTCAAGCTGATTAAAAATCCATTAACCTAAGTCGCAGCCATCAAAAGCGTTGCTCTTTACGCAAGCTTCATATATGCTTTAGTGTGTGATGGAATAAAACGTCACTTAGTTAACTCACGCCAAACAAGTGATGCAAAGCAAGCAAACCTCGCATTATAGCGCTTTGATTGTAAAGCACATTTTAAACAAGCTTGAGTACTTGTATGTCAGTGACATTTGACTCATTGCCAGCTGCATAATGAAGAATAATATGGCATTACAGCTAAAACACATTTAGAAAAACCTCTCTACAATACAAAGGTAAGAATATCATCCAAGACTCCATTAGCAGATAGCCTCATGCTTAGATACGCCATTTTTATGGTTATAAAATAATAAAGAACCTCATTTTTTTCTTGTCCCCTTCATGAAATTTATGGTAGCATCCTAGGATATTTTATTGGAACTTGAAAGATTAAAAAAATATTATTCAACAAAATTTAAGCATTTGTAACCGTTCAAGTCTAATTGTAAAATAACACCACCAGTTTGGAATGGAGAGCATTTTTTTTTAATATTCATAAAACAATCAGCATAAACTTCAAGTGCATTTGATTAGTAGTGATTGCAAAAAAATTAAGCACATAGTAAACTTAAAGAGTAATTCTGTCCAGTCTAAAAAGTGGTGAGTTTCTTGTTGAGCAGCAATCAGGGAAAAAAATCATAGAAAAACCTTGCTCTTTCACATTACAAGGGAATCACACCCTTTAAACTGCAGGGATACTACCAAGAAGATCAGACCCAGCCTAATTTTTATAAAAAGTGTGAATGAAAATCCAAGTGATTACGTTTTATAATAAATATGATCTTGGAATCTTAGTTTGACTTGAATATGAATATAACACACATTTTATTATATACCATTTAAGAAACTTCTGGTACAAATAAAGAGTAATATTATAATAGAACCAAGGCCATGCCAATTGACAACTCATTATCTAGAATTTGATAATTTTTGTTAATATCTAGTAGCAATAGTAAAATAAGGAATAATGATTAATTCTTATTTCAAAAGTTATAAAAAATTTATTTTCATTCTCAAAAAAAAAAAAGTTATAAAAATCAATTATATTGGAAAGAAAATACGGGTGGCAATTGCTTGTCTAATTGGTTAAAGCGCCATCTATGTTGAACTTTTTTTTTTCTTGTGGTAGATCAAAAACCAAGCAATGAAGTGATTCAATAAATTGTAATAGAGATAAAGATCAATAGCTTTCATTTGTTTCTTAGGAGCAAACATTCAAAGAATTATCATTTTTAAGATTGTTTTCGACCCACCAACTCTTTGTGTAAGACCTCATACCCACCTGTCTCTCATATCTCTCTCTCTGAATCTCTATTTCCCCCATGCTCCTTACATTTTTGTTTCTTCCTACCACAGCCTCCTTCAACGCTATTCCAAGCAGCTGCATACTCTCGATCTCCATACCATTCTCAGTCCTAAACTCCACCCGTCAGATTTCTTCTCAATCGTAGCCTCCCCTAAGTCTACCCATTCTTTTCCACTTCCTGACAGAACGATCAATCAAGTTCAATTACAAGTTGCAACAAGAATCAAAACCTTTTTTCCCTCTGCCATCTCTCCTCTGGAGTCAATAATATTTTAAAAGTTGAGAAGGCACTGCTACTAACCGAAAAAGCACCACATTCTCAAAACAAACATCAAAATGTGTGATGTATTATTTAGAAAGTTAATAAACACCCCTTGATGGTTAGCTAGCTATAGTAATGCAAATACATGGATTCTAGTACTCTATTGAAGTTAAAACAACTTACACGAGGAGTTTGATCAAATGACCAATCAATCTTATTGAATTCTTTCTTTAAATGACGGCCTCCGCCCAATCTCATCATCTAGCAAAAAGGAGAAAGAAAATTATATAGACATTTTTTTATCAAAAAGCTAGAAAAATGCCCTGATAATGAATAAAAATAGAGAGAAAAGATGCAAGAGGAGATTACAAGCAATGAAAAATGTACAAAACACTGACCTTCTATTAACTAATCAGCATGAAAAATAAAAGTCAAAATCAAAAAGTACAAGTAGCAGAAGGAGCTTGAATATCCACTTGAAAAACAAATTTTCATTTGTATAGATGAGAATAGAGTATATGTGTGAGATCCTTTCCTTGAGGAAGAAGCACTTCCACCGGATCTTGAGAGAGGAGGAGGGAGAGAGGAAAGGGGAGGAGTGAGCCAAAAACTCTGTCAACTTTATTTCTTCTTGGCCTTTACCCTAATACAATCTATAGCCTATTAATAGGCACAAAAGCAACATAGCAAGCAACACTATTGGTCATACATGCCAAACAAGAAACCTACATAAAAGCAAACCTAAATCTAGGAACAAATATCTAACAATCTCTACCTTGGTCCTAGATTTTATAAAACAAAAGATAATCACTGTTCATAAAGATCAGCCAAAGAACAACCCTGTCGATCTCCTCCGCCAAAAGCGTCCACCGACAGTTAAAAGATTTCTCAAGAACCGATCAATCAACTTCTTGAGTTTCTAGCTCCACCTCCCGACAGATCTTCACATGTCGCACTGCATCCAACGCAGCCAATCCCGAGCACCCCTAGCCCGACATAGGCGCCCTGTGCATCCACCTGCACCCAGCGCCTCAATGCCCGCACCCTGCGCCTCCAGCCAGCATCCAACGCTTTCAGCCCCGCGCCCGCGCCTTGCACCCATGTGGTCTGTCACCAACCACATCGTGCACGTATCCACCCGTGCAGCGAGCCCTGCGCCTTCACCTACGCTCCGCCCGTCACAAGACCACGCTCCGCACTGCAGCGTTCGGCCAGCACCCTGCGTGTCTTTCACCAGTGCCCCACGCTCCTATTCGGACTCCTCGTGCACCGCACGACCTCGCACCTCAAAGCGCCCCGCACTTTCAACACTGCTCCTCAAGAACAGCCGACACTACCTCAGTGTCTCCCGGACTCCACCTGAAGTCCAAAACTCCACCTCAAATCTTGACCAATCTTTAATCAATAAATGAAAGATCATGCTTCCAAACAGTTCCGACATCCACTACTTGTACTTTCGCCCGCTCACCTCTGTCCGGGCACCTCTATTCGCATGCGTCTGGCCTATTACGGCACCAAGCCACGCCTGAGGCTCCACCTTAAACAAGAACCAGTCGGCAAGAACTATATATCAAAGCCGATATGATCTGGAGGTTTTAAGAATTCTGGTTTGGGGACTTTTCTCGGCTTGCATTAAACACCTTCAGTTCTCCAGCAAGCCAAGCCTCTTTTGCATTTGGCCTGATCTTGCAAACGGAGAAGGGAAGATCACTATTCTACCACACGAGACCAAGCCCAAACCTCTGCCGTGCAATCCTTGCACATGACCCAAGCCTTCCGCCTCCGATTTCTTCTGCCACCGGTAACCCCGCCGAACCAAGTCCGGCCAAGCCCCGATCTGGCTCTGGTAGCCTCCGAATCAGGCAAACCAACCTCCGTCCGATCCGTCTGCGGCAACCCAGCTCTCGTGGATCATCCGCCTACTTGCCTCACGCACACCAGACCACGTGGCCTCCTTCAGGCGAGCCGAAGTCGCCTCCTTCCGTTTCTTTAGACAAGAAACCTTCTCTCCTCCACCTCGAGATCGCCACCACCGTGGCTCTAATACCAGATGTAAGATCCTTTCCTTGAGGAAGAAGCACTTCCTCTTGATCTTGAGAGAGGAAGAGGAGGGAGAGAGGAGAAGAAGAGAGAGAGAGATGCAAATGCAGAAAACTTTATTTTTATTTTTTTTGGCCACTTATTACAACCTAAAAATCCCTATTTAAAGACTCCTACAAGCTATACAAATAGCTACACTATAAGTCATGCATGCCAAACAAGAAACCTACACAAAAGCAAACCTAAATCTAGGAACAAATATCTAACAATATGAAATATACACTTAAAGGAAAATCAACTGAGTTCAATAGAGCATTGTTCACCCACTCAGTTTCCTAGCTTCCTTCAGAGTTGGATATTCTACCCCATCTCCTGCACATTTAATGCCACTAAGTTTCCCGATAAGAACTCTGAAAACATGAAAATTGACCACTTCCTATTAAGATAAGCCCTCCCATCTGTCAGAATGAAGTCATCGCATTTATTAAAGCAGCCGTTGCCTTCTCTATACCCCCATTCCATCACTATATTCCTCACTGAAAAGCTCAGGTTATAAATCAGTTTACAGGAAATAATTTTTTTCTTAGTTAATACAGACTTTTCAATAAAAATCAGCTAGTACCAAGCGCTACTTAGGAATTAAATGTGGCATGCTAAGATAAGCAATTCTAAGTAATACAAGAAAACATCCACAAGCATGAGATAATGCTAAATAAGCTAGTTTCCAAGTAAAAAAGTATGAATGATTTCAAATATACATGTGTGGAACATATGTTGAGAAATATTGCGTGCAATGTCATAACAAAGACATACCAACAATTCTCCAACATCTGCTGCAGATTTATCGCCAAAAAGTTGCTGCACAAATGACAGTGCAAACTCAAAAGTCGTTCCTGGACCACGACTTGTGGTGAGCTCTCCTGAAACTTGGAGGTTTGATTGGACTGCCCAAAAGGTAGGAAGCTTGCTCATAAATGCTGGATGGCAAGTCATCTAGTAACGCAAGCACATCTTATTTGATATCTCCTCTATAGAAATAAAGAATAAGTACAGATCTGCAATGTATATGGTACCGAAAGAAAACAACGAATTACCTTCTTTCTCTTCATTAAACCCCATGACATAAGAACAACAGCTGGAGCAGCACATATAGCACCATACAATTTCTTATCCTCGGCTTGCTTGGTTATGATCCTTCGGAGAACTTGGCAATCCCTTAACCGTGCAGAACCTGGCATCCCTCCCTAAAAATAGCATTGTAGAATACATTTAATGATTTCTGTAAAATGTCTACGTCTGCAAGTTCACATAAGGGACCACATTATAACTATAGCACCCTTGAGGAAAATGTAGTACAATAACGATGAGAGAAGTTTCTGAAAGAAGTTCAGTATTCATCAAGTAGGTAGTTAGGTTTACGGGTTGTTTGGTTGCTTGAAAAAAGAATATAATATAAAAGAAATGCAGTGTGAAAGGAATACTTTGGACTTGTTTGGATGAATGTAAAGGGTTTAATGTGGCATTACTTTTTTTTGTTTGATTTAAAGTAAAGCGCTTGCCTATGATGCACGGACACAGACACGGACACGACGCGACACGGATACGGGACACGGCTTTTTTTGAAAATATAGGACACGGGTACGGCTCGGACACGGCAATACATTTTTTTATATAGTGTATATATATTAATGTAATATCATATTAAAAATGACAAACCCGGTAGCGGTGGCGGTGGCGGCGGCTGAAGGAGGTGGGAGGCCGTGGTGGTTGTTGGAGGCGGTGCTCGACTATGGCTGTTGGTCGGCAAAGGTGGCAAGCAAGTGGTGGCAATGCCCTTGAATTTGAGGTGTATTTGAAAATTGCCCAAATCAGAAGAATTCCAAATACACTAAAAATGAACAAGAATGAATTACACTGCATTTGTTTTACTTTACCTTGAATTTATTTTCATCCAATAAAACACCTAAATTATTAAATCCCTGCATTTGGATTGATGTACACCCTAAATGCAAAAAACCAAACAGCACCTTAATAGTAAGGATTAAAAATTTTAACTAAGATCAACGGATAAAAATCTGTAGTTTGACAAAAATTAAAATGTAGAAGCTGCAATGACCCATTGCTCTTGCATCAAGTGACTTTTTCCTTATAAAGCGGGATGAAATATCAAGCTGATGAGATCAACACAAGAAGTTTAAAATCCATTTAGTTTGAATTGCTAGCTTCAACAATTTAAATTTCTGACAAATATAAGTAAGCTTGCTGACGTTAGGTTTGGGGCCTTTAGGCTTGGTAAAATTGGGTCAAAGACCTGAGCTTAGTGAGGCAATTTAGACTCAAAAATGGGCTTTGATTCTTTCAGGCTAAATCAATCCAATTAAGATAAACATAAATTTCTTCAGCTTGATCAAAATCATGAGCATCGCTTGACCAAATTCCGCTTATAAACATAATTAGATGGGGTTAGGTCAAGTCAGATGGGGTTAGGTCAAGTCAATTTATAATTTCAAGTGAAATTAGTAGCTCAAGCCTAAAAAATAAAGAAGATCGCATTAAGTTCTGAAAATCCTAACTTGGCCCTGTCTAACTATATAAATACTCGTTGAAGTTAGAACCCGGATCAATTTTTCAAATGGCATATTGGATTTTAAGTATTTTTTAGGACAGTAACTCAAGCTTCTTCTAAGGTCTTGGGATCTAGTACTTTGGCTTAGCCAAGAAAGACTCCTTCAACTTGCCATTTGAGCTATTGAGCTTTTTAAAACTTGTTCTCAAAGGGAAAGGTCACCACTAACTTTAGAGTCTGCAGCTTAGCTAGTTCATTAAGATTTTGGGCTCACAACTGAACATTATACCTCCGGACCTACCTCCGTCATAGATTACTTTTAGATGGAGAAGCCATAATATGATGTCTTCATGGAGGAAAAGGCATGAATTTAAGAGTTGTGTATATAATAGATAGCACAAACAGGAATTACAAGTGTGTGTTTTACATAAAATTGGGCTATGTACTCACATATACTATCACTAAGTACAAAGTTGTATGGCTAACTAAAATATGTGTTTATATGAAATTGGGCAATATAATTCACATATGCTTTTTTAAAAGTGTCTAGCAAGTTACTTCACATATATTGCTTTTTAATGCAGCACCTTCCTAGGCAATACTGCTGTAATATCCAGAATTTTTAGGTATGACAATTTAATTTAAATTAATTAAGTAATTACATTCTAAATTTTATTTAAAAGTTTAAGGTTAAATGGATGTTAAATTAGTATTGACATTTAATTACTAATAGTTAAATAATAACATTACTGCTAAGTATTATGGTTTATATTAAGTGAAATCAAGCAAAGCAAAGTAGGCATCTTTTGGCTTCACCCTTTCACGTTAATAGCAATCTAACAGAGAAGGGTTCAGTTATCTTCCCAGAGTGAGAAACAGAAGACTAAAGCGGCCCTTTGGAAGCAAGTAATGCTGGGCTTGTGAGTTCCGTGTGAGTGGGCGTAGCAAAGGACGGTGGAGATCTAGGGAGCGGCTCTGCTAGAGTGGAAGTTTGCTTCAGCATTTGAAGTAGATAATTCCAGTATCTGTTTTGCTTTCCCGGAGGACATCAAACCGAAATCCTATAGTGAGTGTCAGCCAGTGCATAGAGAGAAAGTTGGCTACATTGCTTTAAAGAAATTATTACAGAATTCCAAACAGAATTCGGCTATATTGCTTTAAAGAAATTCGGCTTCAAGCAGAAGATTATGTAACAGCTTGCAGGTGTAGTTAATAATCAAATTCTTATAATGAATTGTACTTTGATTTGAGTATACAAACTAGTGGAAGGATCAATGAATTAGTGTGGTTTCTTGGAGCAGTGGAAAGAAAGAGTAGAAGAAAAGAATAATAGAAAGGAAGAAGACAATTTAAGTGAGAAGAAAGCAAGGTAATCTACTTTGTTAATATGCATAGTTGTTGTATGAAATTCCAATTAGTAGTAAAAAAAATTCTTAAAGATGTTATAATTTATGGTGTCCTAGATTAATTTGATCATATGCAAAGAGAAAGCTTCGAGTGACTTACAATCATAAAAGGGTACGATATAGAGAATTGGAGGAGACATTTCGGCAAAGAGGTAAGTAATGCAAGTATTTTTTTTTAAGAATTATATGTTATCATTAGACATGTACAATGATTTTAAGGACACTTTGGAAAAGTAGTCATGAAAATAGATTATTCGATATTATGCATGTTTGATCAGCCTTTTGTGAAATGCCTAGAAAAGGAATATATCTACAAGTTTTCAAGTATGATTAACCACTTACATAAATTAATTATGTGAGTTTAAATCAAAGTTTATTCTCTTCATTTAAATATTTTCCTTATTGATAATATTTTGGAAAGAGATCATATTCTTTAATTATTATATGTATATTCATAGTATATAGATGATGATATGAATGATTATGGAAGCATGTGAAAAATATGAAATATGAAAATATAAAATGCATTGAATATCAATTAAAATAAAATTTGACTATATATGATGTATGACTTACAAATATAGTTAGAACAAATGGATTTTCAAATATGAGACTACATTGTAAGTGGAGCAAAATAGACCCCAAAGAAATGAGACCTACATAGCATGTGAAGCAAAAGATACCTCTAAAGAGGCAAAAGGGACTCTATATAATTCAATAGCGATAATGTTAGGTTTACCTAGGCTCTATTGAATACGTTTATGAAAGAGTAGTCAAATCTTTTAATAAATAAAATTGATATACAATATGAATTTAAGGAAAAATAAAGGTTAATGTCAAATGAGATTTTATGAAATTTTCTCAAGTAGTTTAACTTTTATTTATGTTTTAATGTTCTGAATTTTTATCATACAAGTTTAAATGTTATTTAAAGTTGCATAGCTTATTGAGCCTCATAGCTCACCAGTATGTTCTTGCTGGTTGTTATTACAGGAAAATGAAAAGAAAAGATCGGGGCCGACTAATTGCAAGTACTTAAATGTTTCATATTAGTTTTAATTCTGTTTGTAAGACTAAGTTTAAGATATATAAATATTCTAATGAAGTATTTCTTTGGATTTCTGTAGTGGTTTTGTAAATATCTCATGTTGAAATTTAAAGTTATTAGTTTCTTTCATTTGATGAGATGAATGAGGACTGTTGGATGTTTTATAACGATTTTCAAATGTTCAGAAGTATCGTATGATCAAATGATAAAATGTTTATGTTAATAATACTCCATGTACTGTTAAAGGGTACTATGGGGTGTTACAACTACATTACTGCTATAATGATATTTTTTTAGTTAGAAGTTAAAACAACAAACAAATAGTTTCTCTGTGAAGTACCTTGATAGCTACTTCTCGAAAATTATTTTTAGTGACGTGTATAGCTAGTTACTATTGCAATGATGAAATTTTAATTTTTGAAATAACAAAATAAATTGCTTTTTGACCTAGCTAGGTACTTCACATATATTGTTTTTTGACCTAGCTAGCTATAATAAAAGTTTGAAAATTAAAACCTCATGTACTAACTTTTCTGTGAAACACCAAGCTTGATGCTTCACATATTGCCTTTATTCATAGACCTAGCTAGGTACTATTGCTGCAAATAAATTTTTTTAAGTACCTAGCAAGGCATTTTCGCATATATTATTTGTTTATGAAATACCTAGATAGGTATTGTTTTTTTAGTGGAGTTTAAATGCTTAAAATCATAAATAAGCAGCTAGGGACTTTACCTTTTTTTCTAACTATCTATCTATTCAATCCAATTTCATTTCCTAATTCTCAAATAGAAAATGAGTACGAAATCGCATACGTTCATTTAGCACAACAACAACACTATATTAAAGAATTCATGTCATGATTATTCGACAAGTTTTATATTAGTTGTTAACTACCTATCATAATCATCCATATTTCTCATCCAGGATTTGGGACCTGACAACGGCAGTGTTTAGCACAAATTTAATTTCAAATAATATAAATTATTCCATAATATAATATATGGATGCAATAACAATTGTTTCATAATAAGATACATGAAAGCTATGTTTATATATATATATATATATATATATATATATATATATATATATATGGAGAAACACACAAGAGGGTGCTAGAAGTATGCAAATTTCTTCGCATATGAAAAGTCCTCTTCAAAATCAAAACCACCATTACTAATGGCTGAAAATAGAAGTCATGCCAATCCACCAATTATTATTGAGTTTCTCAAGTTGTGCCGAAGTTCAAGTAAAACCAAAAAAATATTATATGTGATATGCTTATGAAAATTTTGCATGATCGGCACAACTCTCGAGGTAAAATTTAAATTAGATACTTCTTGAATAAATTCAAGATCATCTGAACTCCGATTCAGCAAACTTATAGTCAAACTGAACGTCTTCATAAGATAAACCCAACTATACCAAGAGTGGTTCAATCCGAGCCTAAATGAGACTAAATCAACCACTTGATGCATAATTGAAAATTTCTAGCATTAAATGGACAATCAAATGATCTCTAAATTTGGCACACACATAGTTGAATCGAGCAATTCGACAAGACGAATATAACGAGCCCAATATCACTTAATTCTAATATAATTAAGGCATAATTGTTGAGAAAATGGTTTATGATTAAACGAATCAATATGGATCGTAAGATGCTTTTTAGATTATAACCTAATATACTAAAATACCCATAACAAAAATGGCCATAAAAGTAAGGTTATGAAAAACAAACCGAACAAGAACTGGAATATAGAGAGGTTCAAGGTTCAATGATTCAACCAAAGTCGAACCGGATCACGTAATAAATATCAATTATTTAAACGTCATCTAAATAATATAATAATTATGTAATATTATAATTGGTGGCTAAAAAATAAATAATATTCATACATAAATAATATATTCTATAATTTTAAATTTAAATATATTTTACCTTTGAATTTAAATTTACACTGGTTCACCGATTAATCAGTTGAACAGCTGGTTTAACTGGTTCACTGCGACATCAATTTTGGAAATGAATCGGACCAACTAACAGACGGTTCACAGTTCAATCGGTTGAACCGACCGTTCCTGTCCAATTTTTAAAACATTGATAAATAGGGTTTATTCTCTTCAAATGAAGGGGGTTCAAGAGTTAAGATAAGAAAAGAGCTAGCTCTCGCTGCTGTTGACGACCACCACCAATTCTCTCTGTCGATGACGACCATCGCCAACAATCACCGGCATCATCTTCAGATTTCTATCAAGATATAACATTTGGTTGGGTTTTAATTGTCTACTTCTTGATGTTATACTTCTATAAGCCCTACAAAAAGGAAATCAAATATTTTATTCTCAAATAGTCCTCTTTTACTTCAACAGTGAGGAAGAAAGGATTCTTGTATTTCTTGTTATATAATGTATTTTTCAATTGGGGGCAATGCCCCATGATTTTTTTCTGTTTGGGTTTTTCATGTAAAAAAATTTATCAGTGTGCCAAATATTTATCAAAAGCTAAAACATATATCTTTTACTCCACCACCGTAAATTTTCTAGAATGTATCAATATTAATTCATTTACACAGCTCGGCCCGTTGTTGGCCTTTCACACATAGAGCTACGAACAACCTTAAGAGTTAATAACTTCATGAAAACTAAAATCATTTTTAACTCAACCTAATTGAGCCTTAGCTGCATGCTTCCAAAATAAAACATAAAAAGGGGATTTACATACATTCCACTTTATATCATGTTATTTACATATTTAACAACTAAAATTTTAATATTTCATGCCTACCACTCATGGAACAAATATGGGTGCAAGGAATGAAATATTAAAATTTATAGGATGGTATGGGTGATAGTAATAAAATATAAGAGTGATATATTTGCTATTAAAATTATCTATGGGTTATCTGCATGAAATACTAAAGTTTTTTTTTGTGATAGATATATAAATAGCATGATATAAAGTGATATGTATGTAAATCCCCCTATAAAAAATGAGAACATTCAATAGAAAACATATGGAAAACATAGCGCTATCTGACTCCTCAGATTCCAATTTGATAATAACCATTCTGCCATAATCCCCTAAAAATAGTAATAGAAACTACTAACCGGTAAAGCCACGAGATCAAACATTTCGTTAGCGCACGCAGAGATAGACGTATCGGCCACCAGCTTAGTGCCCGAGGAGCCCTCAATCTGAAGCTCCGGCTCGACGGAGGCCACGATAACGTCCGCTCCGGCGCGGCGAAGGACATCCACCAATATAACTGCCTCCATCTCCTCCGTCCCTAACCCTATCGGAACCAAAACCTAAAGAATAAGAAGAAAGAGTTCAGGGAAATATAATTCAAGGAATCAGATGAAAATGATAAAACTGAAGCTAACCTTCTTCTTGGAAGTAGAATGTATGAGTGGCGTAGCCAGTGTTGTGCTCCGGGAGGCGCGCCTGGAGGCCTGTGTGGTCTTCCGAGTTCGCCCGGGCGGCGGAGCACAGCACAGGGACCGGCATATGGTAGCCGCCATTTCATCAGCGGAGTTGATAGCTATGAATAATTAATTACATATTTATATCAGAGATATTTTATGCAAGCCTGCAAGGTTTTAAGAGATTTGATTTGAGTTTTCGCATATAAAATAACTCTCTATAACACATTTTATATGACGGCTGTATTGCTGTAAGAATATGCTTGGTTAATACAATAATCTCTAAGGTAAGGTTATATCTGTGATGATTTTTTATTATTTTTTAAAATAATTTTTAAAAAAAAATATTAAAAAACTACTTTAAGAAATGATAAAAAAATCGTCCCAAACGAAATCTAAATCAGGAGAAAATATATTTTTATTAATCAATGAGAAATTAAATTCATCAAATTCAAAATCATTGAAAACCAGAGTGAGATCAGATTACTTACAATGATCAAACAATAGGGGAAAATGACAAAAATATGACTTTTTCTCTATTCCCTCTCTTTTCTTCTACTCCCTTTTCCTCTCTTTTTCTTAAGCAAGCCAAACAAAAATGGGGGAGGACCGGCCCGGTCAGGTCGCAGGGTCAAGGGGCAGCGCCCTGCGGGGGTTTCCGGGGGCAACGCCCCCGGAACAAATTTTGATTTACTATTTCTCTTTGTATTTTGTTCATCATTCCCTAACAATAATACATCTACGCAATGTATTTAATTATATTAGGAGCAATTGCCTAAATATCATAGTATTTAACATTTTTAGGGGGGCAAATTGCTTAAAGCCCTTGTAATAAATACTAAAAATATTCTAAATAAGTGCATAATAATAAAAAAAATTTTTTTGAGGGGGGGCAATTGCCCCCCTACCCAAATAGGGGTTCCGCCCCTGGTCTTCTTCCACTAATGGAACATCTAATTTCTGCGAACACATAAACGAGATAAGAAATATTAGGAAACTATTTTATAACAGCTTATTTTTGTATTCTGATTTTCTCAGGACAAGATAACAACCTCGGAAAGCCTGCTAATCGGCAATTGCATGGCAAAGTCGGTCAAGAACTTTTTCATCGGGGCCGTCGCCTCTTCCGCTGTAGTTTACAGAGGTAGTGAATCCGTGATCTATATTATGTGAATCATGCCTTTCATCTTTCTGAAATTTGTAACTTGTGAGATTCTTGCTTATTTGCAAAAAAAAAAACAAAAAAGAAAAAAGAAAGAAGTGGTCGGGTAGTGATTAGTTTACATAAGAAATGAATTGAGTATGCTTTTTTTTTTTTTTTTAATGGGGTTGTTTTTCCTTTTTCAGCAATGAATTATCATGGTGTTTCTTGTTTTTGTTTACTCTCAATTGGGGACACCTGATAAACTGTACTAATGACTTTAACATAATGTCCTTTTATGATTTCTTGGCACGTGAACGGTCTCGATTTATTTAGAGGGTCTGAGTGAATCGGTGCAATCAATGAACTATACTATGCATGATCATATATTTGTGTTTTCTTGTTCATCAAACCAAACAAGTTGTGCACAGCTATGAAGCTCCATTAAGAGGAGACAATCATGTGACATTGCTCTGTTTACTGGTGTTCGTGAACTGGCTTGCTTGTTTTTCCACTAGTTGTTTGTGTTGGATAAAAAGCTAGAAGTTCATTTAGTAGATTCTACATACTTGTTAATTTTCTAATAAGTGATTATAACTTCATTTGTGCTTTAGATTTTGGCAAGTGCTTTTATGAGTTTGAGCTCTTTCACTTATGAAGTTTTTGTGTTTGTTTGTATAATTAGATTTAGTGAACACCCTTCCCTCTCAGCCTTCTAACAATTATCTAAATATCCGAACTACAGGATGAAATTTATTGAACAAGAAATGCTATAAAGGATAGGTTATATGCATGTGCTTACAAAAAGGAAACATGTTGTGTGTCCTACTAGGGCATCATTACTGGGTCTAAATCACAATGATTATTGGTCTTAATACAAGTGAATTTTCACAGATATCAACTATTTTTCTTCGAGTATGTAGTTATTCCCATTAAACTATCTAGGTTGTTTCTTAAGAAGTTTCTTGTTTTAACAAATATTATGGTTTTCAAAGTATCATTGAGAATCTTAGTGTCAATGTCTCTTAAATTATCTTTTTTTTTCCATTAATTATTACTTGTCACCCTAGTAAAACTAATGATAATTTGATTATTTTGGTCATAATTTTGTACCCATAGCTTCAGACAGATGGTAATTCTAATGAAATATATGGGTGATAAAAGATTCTAATAAAAGTATGATTGAATCAGTAAAAATGTTTTCGTCTTTTTTTGCTCTAAACCTTAAAGATTTGAATAATCCATCCAAATGGAGAAGAAGATGAAGGTAGTAAGAGGAACATATTACAGACATAAGCACCATATCAAGATTATTGAACTATAAGGTTTCTTGGATATTTCTTGATAGTTCTAGTGAGATAAAAATTCTGTCAAATGCCTGAAAATAAACCCAAATTCAGTGGGCTAAATCATCACCATGGATAGAAATCACCCGGTTAACAGACATGCTTGAAATTTCATACTTAAATACTTTCACTTGTGAACCACTTTACATTGAAAACCACTTTATTTTATAAAATTTTATATGTTCTTATGTTTGTATTAGAAATTCTCGTTAGGGTTGCTAAACCATGTGCTATTATTGGTACAACTCATTAACGTTGACTGTATTTTTTTTTTTTTTTGGTGGAATAAAAATGTGAGGTCATGGTTTTTTATTCCCATACAAGCTTGCAATAGAATTTTACTTATTCTTGATATAATTTAAAATAGTGTATTTAATTTCTTGTTTAGTTGCTTCTGCTTTTTGCACGTTATTCTTAAAATCTATGTTCAATTTCAGTTTCATCTTCTACCATATAATTTTTTTAGCTTTCTTGATGAATCATGCTATTTTGATACCTGCAGCAACTAGGAGACTTGGGCGTTGGTACAGCTTCTACCTTTCAGCAGGTAGTAGAGAAAATGCATTTTATCCCTTTTAGACAAGAATATAATTACTGAAGTGAAGAATATAAATGAATACAATCAAGAAAGTTTCACAAATTAAAGTTTTTATACATTTTTGTTGATACATGTGTGTATGCTTGTTTCTAAGGATAATAGACTTTCATATGCTTTGCACTTGTATAGTTGCATGTATGGATGGATGCTATGCATCTGTAGGATTGTTGGATGGAAATAAACTGAGCAGGCGGTGGTTCCTGCTAGGCAAATCTAAGCTAGCAACATTCTCAAAATCCTTCACCATTCATAAATTAGTTAGATCTTCTGTCCAACCTTTGGACTGGGTATTTCAGTCCTATTCACGAATGAATCTGATTTCACCATCCTTTGTCTGTAGAATATTCCGTTATCATATGATTGCTTATTTTATATTCTTCTCTCTCTCTCTCTCTACCCTTTCTCTATCTCCAACCTCTCTCTCCCAGAGGCAGAACCTCTCATAGCTAAGGGTGTGCAATGGCCCACCCTCAAAATTGTAAATTTATTAAACAAGAAAGGCTATTTTCAGATATAAAAGCCGACAAATTTATGGGATTTAGCAGAAGCACGTGAAAGGGGAGTACCTTTGCGGCGAGCTCGTGTCGTGACTTTGATTTAAGAGAAATAATGTCGTAGGAGGCTAGAAGCTTCTTTAGCGACTCTTTCAAAACCTACTAGACATGAAGTCAAAGTAGCACAAAGTACGAAGAAGAAGAAATGGCGACGAGGAAAAAGCAAACCTATGCATGCGACAAGGAGAAAGAGCATAGACAGGCCAAAGAGAAGAGAAATTATTAAAAAAAAAACAATGGAAGTGCATAGTACGTTACACTTGAGCAATTTAGTTTTTCCTCCTATAAATATTTTTATTTTACTTTATTTTTTTACAGACTACAATATTATATACAAAAAAACCAGCCAATCAGATAATAAGAAAATTAAATTTCTCATGTAATGAGAAGTTAAATAATTTTTTTACTATATTTTATTAGTGTAATTCCATTTCATAAAAGTAAAAAAGATATCTTTTATTTATTTATTTTAGCAACAACGGTAAAGATGAGCCCTTTCAGCTGTAAAATTTTGCTTAGAATTATGCATTTTTTTTTAAATTAATCGATTTATAAATAAAATCTTCCAGCCTTTGAAAAGAAGCTAGTTATGCCCTTGCTCTCTCCCACCCTCACTCCCTCATTATACACTCATCATTGGCACTCTAGCTACAACAACATCAAAACTTTTATCCCACTACGTGGGGGGTTGGGGTTGGCTGCATGAATCATTTTTCTCTATTGTGTCCTATTAAGAGTTCATCTTTGATACTTAGGTTGTTGTGAATAAAACATGCGCCTCTTCTTTTTTTGGAATTATTTGCTTGAAGCATGACTAGGGCTGAGCTTTAAACTTTAATAAGTATTAGATTTTTTTAATAAAATTTTAAATTGTTAACAAACATAGTATTAAAGTTCTAGCATATGCATTTCGACTAGTTTGAATGGAATAGGTGAGTTAGGGGAAGATATTAAATTCATACTGGTATGCATATTCCTGTTAATTGAACTTGAAGGTTTGCAACTTGCTTTAGATTGATTCAAATTTGGCTTACTCTTTTTCAGTCCATTATATTTTGTAGTAGTTCTAGCTATTTAAATTTTAAGTTTATCTTGAGATAAATTAGTTATTTGAGATCTCTTTTTAGTATGATATTTTTAGTTATGACCTTGACATGCAAGGCAAGACTGACCATTAAAATTTTTTAAGTTGGTGAGATACAGGATTTCATGTGAGTTCACCATTATTCGATCATGCATTGGTTATTAGAAATATATTTATGAAGCATAATTTGGATTGCAAGGGAACTGATTTGTGATTTTTATGGTTTAATTACCTTCCCTTCAATTATAACTTTGATACATTTAGCAACAACTGTAAAGATGAGCCCTTTCAGCTGTAAAATTTTGCTCAGAATTATGCATTTTTTTAAATTAATCGATTTATAAATAAAATCTTCCAGCCTTTGAAAAGAAGCTAGTTATGCCCTTGCTCTCTCCCACTCTCACTCCCTCATTGTACACTCATCATTGGTACTCTAGCTACAACAACATCAAAACTTTTATCCCACTACGTGGGGGGTAGGGGTTGGCTGCATGAATCATTTTTCTCTATTGTGTCCTATATAGAGCATATAGAGCATATATTCTTAATTTTTTTATTAATATGCTCGATCTATAATTATCATTAACTTCTGGAAACTAAGCCTCAACTGTTTTCTGTGCTAGCAATTAGGTTCAATAGATTTACTATTGTGTTTGAGGGGATCATGAACAAGTAAACGCGAGAATGAAGTTATTAATACTAATATCTTTCTCTTAGGAGGAGAAAGTTCATTTCGTAAAATCCATAGCATATAAACACAAACTTTGAGTGACGAACTTTTGCCCTCTGAGAAAGAGAAATGTCATTCTACATCTATGTTTGATTTTAAGCATAAAGTCTTCTATGAAAAAATTATTTACTATTTTCTTGCACATCATCATGACTACAGATTTATATAAACCAAACTAAATGGAGTGACAACTCATGTATCGAAGTTGAATAGTTAGGAAAACACTAATGATAATTATGATTATGATGACAATGATCTTTTACATGGAATCTTCAAATATGAAGATGTGTTTTATACCAACACCACATAATACTTAACGCATTTCAATATTAAGTTCCTTTGGATTGCTTTTCATATTACATTTAATTGGTTCATTATACTTCCATTAGTTTGAAGGTGTAATCGTGTAAGCTTCAAATATCGTGAGTCACATTTCATGAAGTCCAATACCTAAATGATTGTTTTGTTATTTTCATGCTTAAGCGATCACTGTTAGCCTAGAAAAATACCAAATTAAGGAATTTTTTTTATATTTAGTTAGTGGAGTATGTTTATTTGATTTTATTTTAGAGCATTGTACTCATTCCTCTTTTTATAATAGAGGGTCTTATAGTGGATAAGAGATAAGTAGTGCTTTCTCCCGCTAACATGATTTTTGAGTAGGTTTAGTCTAACTCTAGTTGTCTTTATCTCTTTTCTTTGATCAACTAGCCCTCCCTTCTCCCTTCTTTAGCCCCCCTGCCTTGCCCACGCCTTAGCCTTACCAATGCCCTCACTTCACCAACTTCTCCCCTATGTTATTACCTTACCCGCATATTGCTACGTGCAACCTCCCTTGCAAATCCATCCCTCAAATTCTCTCTCTCTCTCTCTCTCTCTCACACACACACACACACACACAATGTTGTCTTCCAAACCCTTTCTCTATAACTCATAATCCTTCACCATCAATATGAATATCAAATTCAATGATATAAATTGTCTTATGTAGTATAGAGGTTTTCACTTTCTTGTAAGTTCTCACGACAATTTTCATCATCTTAATATTTCTCCTTTAGACCATCCTGACACCATCAAGTTTGCAAAGTGTAATCTTTCACCTATAATGTTTTTAGCTGATTGTTCAACAATCTTGAACTTTCCATTGCCTCCATGCTTTAATACTTTGCTAAGACATAAGATATTTTCTTCATTCCACCTACTTTCAAGAAAATAATCTGTCGTGTCTACACTTTCTATTCTAAGATATTTTCTCTTCCCCCAAAATGAGATGCAGATCTTGCAATATTGCAGCATGTTGAAAGGAAAATGGGATGAGTTGTTTTGTAATACCTATTGCTGAAAAGTATATCTGATGGCTCTGTTGCTCCTCGTGGAGCCTTTTTAGAAAAGAGTTAACTTTCATGTGCTTTATTCTCCAAACTATGAATTGGAGATGAATAATTTATTGCTTCCTATTATGTTATTTCTTAGTGCACTAGTTTAGTTTACGAGTAGGAGCATATTGTGATAATATATTTTCTACTTTGATATTTCCTATTTTAAAGAGTAAATTACATTAACTGTCCTTCATATTGCTGGTTGGATTAAGTGTGATAAATTGATAATATATATACCTTTTGACTGATAGAAAATGCTATTAAATGCAATATAATTCTTCCTTATTTTCTCTTTGTTCTGACATGGTGCCATAAACAGTTGCTTTACTGAAAGGAGATGGTAGATGACTACATGCATGCTCTTATTGGGCTAAGAATGGGGATAAAGTTGGTTCATCTTCCTCTTCATGGTGCCTCACTAAACCCCTTTGTATCCATGGATCACTCCCCTTTTTTAGGTTACTTTCTACAAATTGAATGAAAGGAATTTCCTTCCATGGTCATTTTGGTCCAAATGGCTTTATGAGGGAAAGAAAAAAATTAATAACTTTATAGTATCATAAGAAACCTGAACCAACATTATTCCCTTCGCACAACTTGGGACACTAGCAACGCATTAGCAATGTCTTGGCTCATCAACTCAATGGAAGAGCATGTTGGTTCTCTATATTTGGTTCACAACACTATGAAGACTATTTGGGAGAATTTCTAGATGATTTATTCAAAATTTGAATGTTCTACAATTTCTGTGAACTAAGAGATTTGGAACGGAGTTTAAAGCAAGGAATCATGGGAAATGTTAAATACTACGTTTCTATCAAAATCTGTAAAGAACTAGATGGATGTGAGCCCAATGATTAGCTTGGAGAAAGATTCAAACAATATACAAAACTAGTTGAAAAAAAAAGGTAGAATCTTCGATTTCCTTGCTAGCCTCAACAAAAATTTTGATGGAGAATGCTTGTAATTCACCCAATACTATAGATTGAAGAGGTATTTGCTGAAGTATGAAGCAAGGAGAGCAGATGGAGAAATATACTTATAAACAAAAAATAAATTAAAAAATCCATGCACATCAAAGTTTCCCCCCTTGCTGCTAAAGGTTCGGAGCAGGTTGAAGTAACAAATCATTCTAATGATTCTAGATGTGCGAAAAGAGGAACCTGTGGCGTGATTTTTGTTAAAAAAACCAACGACATGAATGATATATGTTGGAAACTACATGGTAAATCAATAAATTGTGACCATCCACAGAAATTTGAAAATCATCAGTCCACGCCTACCAAACCAATACAAAAAAAGCTCAAATAAAAAAATCTGGAGATAGTATTGGTGGGATTACTTTAAACAAAGAGCAACTTTATTTCATGTATAAGTTGCTCACTAAAGAAAAGGCAACCAACACCCCTTTAATAGCCTAGTGAGATGATTTTCTGATTGCTTACTACACAAAGGAAAAATAAGAATCCTGAATAATTGATTTAAGAGTTTAAAATCATATGATAGGTTTTGCTCATCTATTCTCTTAATATACTCCCACTTATGGCAAACTAAATAAAATTTTTTTGATGGGTCCATATCTCCAATTCCTGAGATTGCCACTATTAGAATTAACTCTGCATGGAAGGATCTTTATCTTCTAATTGAAGGCCATGGGTTTACATTTAGAAATTGAGGTGAACATGCTTCTCCTCCGAAGAGGAGAAAATATTTCCCATATATCAGTTACTGTATCAGTTGCTGCGTTCAAAGAAGCACTTTGGTATTCAAATTTACATGAAAAGGGAATGAAGTTTATAATTACTATTATTACCTACTGATGCTGTGATGCACCAATCGCATGAGATTATTATACTTGGATTAGTTGGCTTCATACGCACGTGTGCATGCATTTCTGTGTGTGAATGTTAGTTTCTTTGCATCCGTCACAAAACCTAATAGCAATTATTATCCCTTCAGATTCATGGGGCTCGGTTATTTGGCATTTTCATCACTAAAATAGTAAAATTAGTCACTTTTGCCTTGGTTCTGTTGAGTTTACCATTTTTTTTATCTGCATTTTACAGGTTCAGGCCTGCTCATTGGAAGGATGGTGATTGATAGGTCTGCAAATGCATGCCTTGAACAAATATTAAGTATTGAAGGTAGTAGGATGCAAAGAGAATTAGCAAATATGTAAGTTCTCATTCTTAAGTTTATTTTTTGAGTAAATTATTTTTTTGTCTGTAAGTATCTTTTTACATGGATGTGAACAGAAATTCATTGCTGCCCATATTTTGCATGTTTTAACATGCAACTTCATGATAGTATATTATGGAAGCATAGAGAAAGCCCATCAAGAATGCAGATGGTACTCAAGTATTTTTATCCAGAGGTAGTATTTACTGATCAAAAACCTGATACGCCCCTCATAAGGTGGAGGGCAAGGAATGTCTATGAAGATGAAACCACTTCCCAAAGAATTGAAGACAATGGCGACTGCAGCGATGATGTAGATGCCAAAGCGCTGTCCCCTGGTCAATCTAAGGTAAACTTAAAATCTTGGAATTATTATGACTTTATATACCTCATAATAGTAGAAATTTGAGAAATATGACCTATTTTTCATTTTTTGGAGAAAATATGCCAAAATGTTTTTTTTATGACCAAAATACCTGCGCTCTAAATTGCGGACTACTATCTTAAGTTATTCGAGACTAAAACTGATTTGAATAATATTCGAGCAAAGTTCAAACAAGCTTTGACTAAGATTGAGATAAAATAATAGAAAAAAATGATCTATATTCGAACACTGTTCAAACCATATTTGAATCGTGTTATGATTTCAAGAAGTTTCATACATATTTTAGGGAGGTTCAAACATGTTCAAACACGACTTTCAGAAGTGTTAGATCCAATAGAGTATAATCCAATACCTAAATTACTTCACAATGAGAAGCATAATATCTATATCACTTCACTATATGTATTTTGATCATGGTACAAAGAATAGTCGAACATTGTTTGTTTAGATCACGGTTTGTTATTGGATTATATGCTAGATTGATAGAAAGAGTGTAATCAAAACAACCATGACACAATAGAGTGTATTTGACAAATTCAAATCGTCCTTAGTAGAATTCTATAAATCTGTATGTAAATTTATCCATATTCTATAAACTAAATTATAAATTCCTCCACATCATCCAATAATGTGTAAATTCTATAAACTAGTTTAATAAAAGAATAAATGTTAATGAAAAATAAATATTGACTTCAAAATGATAATTGGACTCGTGGCTCTACATTGTGGACTAAATTTACACTTAAATGTCCCCTAAAAAATTGCATGTGATCATGTTGAAAATATTTTTATTTAAAGCCACATATATCAACTGTTGTATTGCATGCATTCTACGGTTGCCATTGCAAATAAGACAGAGCAATCATCAGACTGTATGTGCAAGAACTAGCCAAATTAATTTTTTTTTTTAATTTTGATAGGAAGTGCTTGTATTCACAAGCAACCTATCCAAAATCGGCGAACCAACAACAGCCAAATGGCTGTCCACAGCAGGAAAACAGCAGATTTCTGCTGTTTACAGCAGGAAAACAGCACTTGTTCGGGAAAATACGAGAGAAAACTCAAGAAAAGACTTGTATTCCACTTAGACGATGAATAAAAGAGCAAGATACAATTGATCCTCAATTCTAGAGGAGGATCGATCTCTCCCAAATCTCTAGACGCCGCTAGAGCCCAAAGAAACCTAAATCTACGAGATCTCAAATTTCAGCCAAATTCAAGATGCTCAAAACCTAGGAAAATCTACTATTTAATGCATACAATTCAAAAGGAATTTCCTAAACAATCCCTACAATCAATTTCCCTCCTAAAATCCATTCAAAAACCTTCCAAAAACCGTCCCGCAAAGCGTGCGTCACGCGCGGCTCCCGCCCAGGCGGAAGCTTTCTCCGCCTGTTTTCGCGATTCTGCCCCGTGAACCGGTCCCGCCTGGACCGGCTGGACCGGTCCAGTGGACCGGTCTAACAAATTTTAAATGGATTTCCTTATTGTAGTCACTGGGATTTTATTTGTGTTGGGCATTCTTTCTGTCTAAGGAGATTTAGAGAACACAAGTGGCTATCTTTTATCAAATAAGCTTGAGCAATAAAGCAACATAGGAAGCAAATGTCAAATGAAATAATCATTCCCTCTTTGCAAGGTTTGAAATGTGCTGCAAGAGGGATCATAATCATACCACATCATGGACTTTGTAGGTAGTGAGATCTCACATATAATTCAATTATTCAATGAACTTTATTCTAATTTAATAAAGAGTTTATTCTAATTTAATAAATAGTATATAAGTTTTGAGTCAGCCCATGAATTTAGGTACTATTGTTCATCTCTTATGGCATACGCAAGTGCTACATCAGGCCACCTAAAGGACTCTTTTCTTTCGAGCTTTTGGAAAATGGAGATGGCTGATTTACAATATTGATTAAATGATTTATCCAACAAAATTATGCCAAAGTCATAGAATTTTAGGTGCCGCCAAATTTGCTCCCATATTATGTAACATAAATAATTAATATGCTACCAAAAAATGAAGTTGATAAAAATGTTACTTAAATGGTAATAGCATATTTTTAATAAGTTAAAAGAATCCTCACATTGCTATCTAATCATGGAATTGGGGTATTCAACTCTCAAAATCTCGATGCGATTCCATTGCCCATTCCTATCTCGTTCTCTTTTGAGTTGGCCGCCATAACATCCAAGACTTTTAAGATGACAATTGCTCATTATTAATCAGGTGTAGATGATTAATGGCATATGGATGCTTGGGTTTGTACCATTTCTTTGATGGATTTGTGAAATACCCAATAAGCTATTGATTATTTTGCACTATTCTTTTAAACTCTATAAGCTGTGCATCATTCTTTTTTTTTTTTTTTTTTTAATTTTTAAATTATAACAGATGGCTTACTACCTCCTTATCTGTATGTAATGGCAAGGGGTTGTTCTCTTGACTTCTCGCTCTCCTTACCTGACATAATTAAAAAAAGTTGGTATCCTACCTCTAGGGATGTAAATGAGCCGAACCAGCTCGTTAGCTGGCTCGTACTCAACTCGTTAATGAGCTCGAGAGTCGAGCTTATCGAGCCACAAGCTTAAGCTCGAATATTAAACGAGGCTCGAGTTTGAGCTTGTTAACACTCAATTCCTCAGCTTGTGAGCCGGCTCTAATTAATTAATTATGTAAAATTTAAGTTAACATGAAAATTTTTATATTAAAAAAATATACAACATTTAATTATTTACTTTACAATAGTTGAACGAATTTTTTAAAAACTTTCTAAATCGTTGTGCTTTTTTTATTTTTTTTCTAGAAAAGGTTGTTTTCTAAGTTAATTAAAGAAACATAGCATTTTGAGACCAGCAATGTCCTTTTTTTGGGGTAAATCTAGCTGTCCTTCTTCCTCGAGCTCCACAGCCAGCACTTCCCGACGACGAAGCAAAAGCTCTCTGCCTTTGTTCTCCACAGTCAACGCTGAAGCAAAACTTCAGCTTCGATTTCATCTCGAGCCGAGCTCTCGAACCTAAGAGAAAATGGACGAGTCAAGCTCGAGCTTGTTCTTTTGGCGAGCTCGAGCTCGAGTTCGAGTGGCTCTTTGGAGGGGTGAGCCCAGCTCGAGTTTGCTTTTACTCGAGCTCGACTCGTTTACTCCCCTACCTAGCTCCTCCACCTAATCGAACTTCTGCTCCACTTCCTTTTTCTCTTGCACCTCATCAAATGTTGGGTCAATGGTTGAGACCTTCTCATTTTTTTCCTCCTCTCTCCCTTTTCTCGATGTGCATATGTAAAAACTCTATACAAGATTGGTTAGAGTATCCAATTTATGCTTCAATGTTATTTATTTATTTTTTAACCTTATTCAATTGTTCTCCAAACTTATCTGGCCATTTTTAACTCCAGAATAATGGTAAAAAGTTGCGTCATCCCTTTATGAGACGAAATGAATTGACTTGCAGCTGATTGTACTTTGATTCCTCCCAAGCTTTCTTATCAAGAATAGGGATGCTCTATTTTTTCTATATTATCCTAATTATGATAGGTTGAGAGGGAGTGTGTATAGAGGACTTATAGAAGTCCTCATCAATTTTAGGCACTGACTTAAGATGGTCAACTCCCTCTAAAATTTAAGTTAGTATCAAGGAGCAATTTTAATATTCCCAAACTACAAAAACATAAGCAACGGTAAAAAATAAAAAAATTAATATGATATTTTTTATCATTTTCCATAAAAAGTCATTGCTTGTGAGCGCCTTGTTGTTCTTCCAACTCAACCTCCTTGCTACCCTCTCCCTAAGAAACTTAACATCTCTTCTCTTGTCCTGGAATATCTTCATAAGCCTAATATTGTGGTGATACTACATATCCAACTATCATGCACTAGGCTGGGGTTTTCTTCTCTATTACATGTCCCTCATAGTGCACAGTGTCCCTCTTAAGCCTCATAGTACATCATGTCTTTCTTAAGCTCTCATAGTATTTTCTCCCATGACTTCCTATCCCATGATTATTAATATCATTATCTTCAACCATGAGAATCATTTCCGTGAGGACATCACTATTCTTGTCATGATTCAGGTCACTCTACAAAGAAGCATAACCTAAGATTTCATCGATTATCTTTGTCAGTTCACTTTATGAAGTATTTTCAAGGTTTATGTTCTTAAAATTTTTGCACGCTCTAAAGTAGTTTTCAAACAACCTGCTGCTTCTTTCATCCTCTTGAATTCATCCTTAGCTGAGAACTCTTCAAAATTCAACTTAGTCATTAGAGCAAACTTTGTAGTCCTATTCTTTCGTCTATTTTTGAACAATTTTGACTACTCACAATTTTTATTATCGTCAACCATCATCAATAATAATTGATAAATGAGGGCACTAGAAAATTGCATCTCACGAGTTCTGAAGTGCCTAAAAGGAGATCCCTCAGCTTTGGCAAGGAGGTCATTAGTCTCAAATTTTTCATTCAATTTCTCCATTACCCTTTCGACTTTATACATAACCAGAACACTATAATGCCTCTGAATTGGTAGGATTAGATCAAACATGTGTATGCATAATATAACAACTCAACGAATCAATCTTAAAAGAGGTGATGCATGCAAAAATAAATAAATTAGAACCATATTCGATAATTAGTGAACAATATTGGTTCATGATCAAACTAACTTCAACAATGATTGAACCATTATAATCGATCAAAATGATTGATCTATTCGATGAGACTTTGCAACATCCTCAACTCACAATTTACCAATATTCAAATAAACTTCAATGCATTACAACTCTATTTGAACTTATTCAAAACCATATTCGAACACTTAAATATTATTCGATCTTTCTTGAAAAAGAATTTAACATGTTCGATGAAGGGTCGATGATAGGTTCGAGTAAATGTTCAAATAAGATTTGACTAAGTTTGAATTAGGCTTCGAGTAGAAAGATATAGCCACCATGAATTTTTGCCACATGCCTAAGATATATGCTTTGCAATCGCCAAAAATATAAAAGATGATCGGAAGAGAAATGGTCGCAAATCTCTTATGATCAAAAAGTTATGGAATTTTTTAGTAAGAGTTTCGATTCTATTTGTTAAACTACAAGAATATTTTGGTCCGTAGTGTATTTTTAGGTATATTTCTCCAATAAATTAAATTGATGACATATTTCTTCAAATTTTGTTATTATGAGGCACATAAAATAATTTTTTTTACGGTTATTTGCTTGATATTTGCATCATATTTGAATCCCAAATAATTTACAAAAGTTTTAAAGTAAATTGAATATAAGAAGACTGATATAAGATGATGAAATAAATTATCAAATAAGAAGAGTTAGACCATCTTTAAATGAGTTTATCAACTCTTAGTGAGCTACTTATTGTACAACAAGTGAGCATGTTCATGTATATGTGGAGTTTATAAAAAATATTGTTTGAGTTTCTCCAATTATTTATATGTAAAAAAACATAAATGAGTGTTATATAAATGAATATTGAGCTGTTTATCAATTGCATTATTTCCCTCAATTTTCATTTGCATTTCATTGTTGATGATCTTCATTTAAATATAATGCAGAGCAAACTGGGTCCTGTAAATACATTCCATGGCAACCTGGGTGAAGATTTGCTTACAGATCCACTAGATTGCATCGTCTTCGGTAATCAAGAATCGAGCGAGGAGATTCATCATGCCGACGGCGCCAAAATCCGGCGAAGTCAGCGACGTGCTCAAAGGACCGGTCGCCGGCACCACCGAGACCATGAAACATATTCTCATTCAACAAAAGGCTAGCTGAAATTGCCTACAGACCTGAATAATCTGACTATGCTGAACCAGATTTCTTTTCTAGATTACCCTTTTAATCTGAATAGCTGTTTGTCCATTGCCTCTTCATGACCATCTCATATTTTGATTGGCAAATTTATTACATTTGTTGGTCAAGAAGCAATATAGTGAATTCATGTTTGTCTAAAACTAGTTTAGTAGTTGGAATCTTAAACCTATACAATATCTTTTTAGCAGTAAAGCCTTGTATGTGGAAACTTTTTTATGGTATATTCTAAAATCTGGAAAAACTGGATGAAGAATTTTAATTTAAGTGTCTCATTATTCTGTGCGGATGCGGAACATAATTTATTGTCTGGAGATCAATCAGAATGTGCCACGTCAGCAGTACCGAGCAGCGATACCGAGCAGTACCGAGCAGGGGGTGATGTGATGCATTCTGGTTGGTCTCTGGACGGTGTTCAGTGTCTGCATAGAATAATTTCTCATGTTTGGGATAGCTGCAATTTTTCATGAAGTTGGTTATGAAGTTGCAATGGAGGAAATAGCTTTAGGCTTCATTTGTGGTAGCTTTCTTTCTGCGTCTTAAAGTAATATTCTTCTATAAAAATTTGTAGTTCAAGAAATTTTTATAATAAAAATTTTCAATTACATTTGAAATGGATAGAAAACTACTAAAATCTAAAAGTTGGATGCTCTTGAATTTAATTTCATAAATTTTTATAGAAATAATACATCAAAATTCGTGCTGGTCAAATAAATTTTTTGAGAATATATGTAAATATCTATTTTTTCTAATATTACAACAATTATATTAAAATAAAGACTGATGAATAAAATAAATGTATAAAAATGAACTCAAATGTAAGAGAATTTGCATGAAAAATTATTCGGTGCGGATATCGTACCAAGGAGAATTAGAGCGTGTCATATTACTTTTTTATTGTGTACCGGTGTGTATCAAGGTGATATGACACGTCAGATTCTATTCGGGACGGTCCGATGTCCGCACATAATAATCTATCAATATAACTTAAACTATAAGATTTATAATAATAAAAATAATAATTATTATTAAAATAATTACGTGCCGTGTGAAAAATCTTAATGGCATCAACAATAAAAATGCACATTTTATGAATTAAAATAAATATCAGTGGCATTTGCGTAAATCTCTTATATAAAAAAAAAAAAATAAGGCGCAACTGCGCCTATGCCAATCTACAACGCTATCCGCTCCAGCTCCCATTCCAGATTTTCCTGTTAGGGCTCCGCCGATCTGGTAACCAGTGAGGTTAGGGTTTCCGGCGATCTTATTCTTTTCAATTGTTTTGTAAGATTCAGCTCATTTAGTTGGTTTTTAATCTCAGGACTACGATTGAGCTTTGAAATTTGAAGATTTGTGTGTGTGTGTGTGTTTAATTTTCTAGGGTTTCAGGAGGCAGACATGAGGGTTCATCCGGCTCCGAAGAAGAGGAGCATAACGTTCAGGTATGGAGCTAACGCGAGCTTCTCTGCAGCTGAGGCGATTCTTAGCCGGCAGAAGAAGCTCCGTCGCCTCCCCCACATATTTAGCAAGGTTCTCGAGCTTCCCTTCAGAGCGGATGCCCATGTTTCTGTCGCGGAGGATCCCGATTGTTTCCGATTTGTGGCTTCTGTCGTTTCCGGGTTCGACGGCGGCGTGCGCGCTCACGCGATACAGATCTACCCTGGGGTTATGAAGGTTGTGATAAGGGAATCGGAAATGGATGGTGGCGATGATCCCGTTTTTGTCGACGATCTGGATGTGGAAGATCTCGAACTAGACCGGTGGAGGTTCCGGCTACCGCCGGAGACCCGGCCAGCGCTCGCCACGGCGGAGTATGTTGATGGAGAGCTCATCGTTATTGTTCCAAAGGGACCGGATTCTGATGGTGCTGAAGGTGAGGTGGATGATGGATTGGGAGGCGATTTTATCGACAGCGACATTAATCGGCTTGTTCTTGTACAGTAACCCTCTATCCCTCTCACCAATCTCCTTCTTTTTCTTCACACGCTCTCTCCCTCCCTACCTACGTTTCACGATTTGTCGCGATCATCTGGCCACGAATTGGAACTTTTATGTAATCGTACCTTAACTGGATCGAAAATTAAACCCTCTTTATTGTATATAAAATAAGGGTATTAAATTTTGAGCTTGCTTTTCTGCCAATTGGATTCAATTCAGAAGAAACATGCTTTAAAACCCTAACTCATTAGAATTCGTTGCTCTTCTCGTTTCGCTGAGCAAAATTGCTTATTTTAATCGAATTTGAAGTATGAGGTAGGCTCATTTCCATCGATTTAGATCCTCTGCTCCCTTTTTTTATTCTTATTGGAGTTTGAATGCTACTTTTAGATCTATATTCGGTTCTCACAATTGCTGTGGGGGTAATTTACCTGGCCAAATTATCCTTTTTTTAAGGTTGCATGCCACTCAATTTTCACCAGATTATTTCTACTTCTTGTGCTTCCTCTTTTTTATTTGAATTGCATCAGTACAGCGGGCATCTTTATATAGAAATTTATCTGTTTTCTTTTTTTTTATTATTGAATAGCATCTGTCATTGTGGATTAAGCAGCAGGACTTCCTTTTTAAGTAGAAAGCCTTCTATCTTCATTACAATTATGTCAGATGCAAAATGTATTCTGATGAACTTCAAAGCTATTGGATTAGTGCTCTTGAGCTCATCTTGATGCACTAATCTAATTTAAGGCTTTGTTTGGAACGACTTTCTTATTGTTTCTTAAAGCGGTTTTCTAGTTCTAGTACAAAAATTTTGTACTAGAAAGCCAGTTTAAGAGGCAGGAAGAAAGCCATCCCAAACGAAGCCTCCCTACAAAATGTTATGCAACTTATTCTTTATTTCAGCTAAAATTATGACATGCGGTGGCTAGACGTCGTTCGGAGCCAAATCAGGATGCGCCACGTCATTTTTTTTTGTTGTGTACCGTTATGTATTGGGTGACGTGGCTCATCCTGATTCGCTTCCGGTCTGGTGATCTGTTTCATTCAATGTTATCTTAGTATTGCATCCTTATCTAACAAGGTCAATGATTTTAATTTTTTTAATTCATTTATTTTTTATTGTTGGACAACTTGACATTTAAATGTTCTTTGATTTGTTCAACATCTAGATGAAACATTTGAATCTTATATAGCTATTATACTATATGTACAAACTTTAGTTAGTAATCCTGGCCATTCAAACTGGATTGGACTGTCAATGTGCAAGTACTCTTGATGTTATAAAAATAGGATATGAATGCCATTTATAAAATTGTTTATGTAAAGATGTTGATTTGCACTATGGTTTGCACAAAAGATGAGTTAGGGAACCATTTGTGGAGAAAGTTTGGGTCATCATTTCCTTATGTGAGTAAGACATTATAAGTAAAATATAAAGATTTATTTGTCAAACATGCAAATATAGAAAGATTTCATGGCATGTATGTAAATTCACCTTTTTATTTAAGATGATGGTATAATGTATAATTAATCAATGACAATATATGTTGCACTTGTTTCATACGATGTTTAAAATTGCGTATTCGGGTATTGGGGCATTTTTCATTCGTGAGGCGAGACGTAAGTCTCAAGGTGTTTGGAGGCGTAAGCCTCAAAATCAAAAGATTACGTAAACATAAAATTATAAATTTTTTATATACTAATGAGTGAATAATATAAAACATAAAAAAATATAAGATATGAAGTGAAATCAAACTATCCCAATAATAAGACAACATGAAATATAGTTCAACTCAAAATTCTATCTTTCTTAAATTCTAGTATTCTTTTCATTAACATAATTCAAATTTTTAAAAATAAATAGCAATGACGTATCACATAAGAACTCATAAGTCATCAGTACTATCATCACTAAGGAGTTTTTCATTTGAATCATCATTATGATGAATTGCTCTCTCCCCTTTCTCCTCTCCTATAGAGTGCAATGTCGGGCATTTACTTCTTGATTTATATAAGTTTTAACATAAATAGTGTGAGTCGTAAGCCTCATGCCAGTGAGGCGAGGTGGGCCTTATTAATAATATATATATATATATATATATATATATATATATATAAACAAATTATTTAGGATATTTTGTCAAATTTGGGTGATGACACTAATCCTTTTGGAAGTTTTTGATAAGATTGAGATTTCATTTGGGATGATTTTTTTATTGCTTCTTAAAACAATTTTTTAGTATGAAAATTAAAAATTTTATACTAAAAAGTTTTTTAAAGAAGTAATAAGAAAGCCGTCCCAAACGAAGCCTGAGTTTAATTACACAAAAATAAGAGTTCAGCTGCACCATTTATCAACGATACTTCTTGATTAAAACCACAACTTATCTTGATGGTTTATATTGACATTTTATTTATATTTATGGATAAACATAAATTCAAAAAAATAAATCTAATTTAATACAAAATAGGCTTGGATCAACATTGATAACATACAAGAATTTGAGTACTAAAGGTTGACTTCATTTCTTCTAATAGTAAATCAAACATTAATTTGAATAAAAAAAACATTAATTTGAATAAATTTAATAAGAAGTATGGTTTCTTGATGAATATACTTGATTTTTTTTTTTTCTAATATAACTTGTATGAGGTGAAAGATATTTTTACAGAAGGATGTAAAGCTTCTATTAATCAAGTCTCTGTAAATTCAACATAATCCATGTTTTATTCGAACCAGTAAATAGGTATTTATTGTGTATCTGTTGTATATTTATTACATATTGATGGTGTATCAATGGTGCATCATTGGATTGTAAAGAAATTTATTTATATGCATTCAGAATTGAATTTGTAATAAAAATATTTATTAAAAGGAAGGGCATCTCCAACCGAAAAACTCATTTTCTACTCAAAAATGCAGTAAAACTCCAAAATGCAGTAACTTGCTTCCAATCGAACTTTATTTTCTAACATTAAAAAAGAATAGTCATAGTATATTCTTTTTCTTATTTTATTTTTTTATTTTTTAATCATATATTTATATTTATCAATGTTAAACCTATTATAATTTTAAAAATTATGTTTCTTTTCTAAAAAAAAAAAGTTGGGATATTAATATGTTCTAAAAACAATATTCCTAGTAAAAATTATGTTCCTTTTATCGAACTTCATTTTTTAAGTATTGAAGTACTCAATGTCTTTTAAATATGTATGATGAGAAATTTATCATAATTTTTATGTTAATGTTTATCTTTAAAAAAATAATTACATAAAAAATATTTATAATTTTTGGAAAATTATGTATTTCTAAATTATTATTTCTTAATTATTTATAATATAAATTTATACTTAAACATTTAAAATTACAAATCAATTATATAAAAAAAAATATATGGCAGATGAATAGTGCGACGCCAATATTGTGTTCATCAGCGACTAAATACCGGCAAAAATCGAGTTCGGTTGCGAGGTCTGAGGCTCTCCATTCGACTGTTTGCAGAACGGCTGGAGCTCTAATACATATTCAATACACATTCAAAATTGATCTTATAATAAAAAATATTTATTTTAAGTAGTACACACTCAATACATACTAAATATACATTAAATTCACACTCAATATGTATTTGTTGTGTATTTACGGCATATTTGTTGTGTATTTGTTGAATAATGGCTATGTATTTGCTATTTTTTTGTTGCGTAGTTCTGCATATGGATGTTGCATCTTCTATACATACAATGGACAAGTTCAAAAAACATTACAAAATGAATGAAAAATCATATAAATCATTCATATTTTTGAATCCTAATTTTAAAAATTTGAAGGCAAAAATTGTTCTGTTGTAATTGCTTCTACAACATTTTTCTACTAAGCTCAATAAAACATATATTTACATGAAATATAGTAAAATTTATGAGAAGTTTAAATTGATAAATTTAAATCTACAGCATATCATTTTCTTGAAAAATGAATGTTCTCCAAATAAGTCTTTATTTCATCATCTGTTTCTTATTTTTCTTTTAAGCATCAAAAGTTTTATTCATCGAAAACTCTTATTTTTATTGAGCATATGCAATAATTTTAAACTTTATTTTCTTATAATTCTATTTTTAAATTATTTTATGATATATTGTCTCTGAAATATTTATAATAACTAATGTCGATAGTTCTAACTTAAAAAAAAAAAAAAATGGTGGCTTCTACCTTACGCCACCAGCTTTATCTCTTTGAAGGCCTAAAGATCTCCATTTCTTTCCAAATGCTTTTTGTTATTTCATTATCATTCCTTATCCATTTTTGTCATTTTACAATTATTTTATTTTATCATCTTATTACTTATCATTTGTTCCAGTTAGGAAGATAAGGATGTTGTCCTTTTTTTTATTAAATAATGTCGGCCAAATATGAGTGGATTTTCTATTAGGTATAAAAAAATGATATGATTTTTTTGACCAAATATGAAATTGATTAAAAAAATTTAGATTCGGATTGATTTGTTTAATAAACAGGTTAAATTTGAGTCATATAGTCAGATCTAATTAAATTTTGGGTTGATTTATCAATTTAATTTTGACCTCTTTAATATATTTTTTAATTTTTTTATTTATCAATATAATACTTTTATTTTTTTCTTAATTAGCTTAAAATTTATGATTAATAAATGTTCAGATTGCTAGCGAATTAGATTTGAGTCAGATTAATTTTACATTGTACAAAAAATTGACCTATTTACTCGTTTTTTCATTGGGCCCTAAGATTTTTAAATAATTTAATGGTCACTTTCGTTACCAAAGGAATATTTGCCTGACACATTGTCTTATATAACTTTGTATTATTTTTTATAATATCTTAAATTATGTGACTGTCTTTATGATGCATAGAGTGAATTTTCTAAATCAACAAGCAATAAAAACATTAATTTTAAAATATATTTTCTTATATAGTAGATTTAATAAATTTTTTAAAAAGAAAATCAACAAATAAATTAGGACTAATACAAAGTTCATTAGGATTGAATTCACACTTAAATGAAAACTTCTCTTAAAGTTTTATTTTGAATTTATTTTATTTTGTGCCAAATATCTAAACAATAATAATAATACTCATTTAGGCTTTGTTTAAAACGACTTTATAAATTTTTTAATAAAAAATTCTTTTTTTTTTTGAAATAGGAAGAAAGCTGTCCCAAACAAAGCCTAATCTAATCTTAAATGGAGATAGATTAGGTATAAAATTTCTTGATTTAAAAG